TAAATTAACGTTAATTAGTACTAATTAGTCAATAACAGGAAGGAAAGAACAAAACTTTTTACATATTTTCTCGTCGTAAATATTCTCCACACATTTCTCTATCGATCTAGACAAGAACCAAGCTTTTGTGATGAATGGAGAATGGACAGGAATTTTTTTTGTAATAACCCCGTGCTCAAAAATTTAACAACATTTTTTTAAGTAATTAATTTTTTTCTCAGCCAAATAACGTCAGTAAGCCGAAAAAACTTCAGGACATATACTTCGAAGTATCCTCTACAAACTGGGAATGCTAGAGAAAAATCTAAATGGGGGGACCCCCCTTCACAACTGAAAGAGCGAATTGTATCTCTTGCTTATCCAAAGAACTCTGTACTTTTATTTCGTATGTACGTAGCTTCTTTAAAATTTGTTCATGTAATGTTCCAAAAAGTTCAGGCATATTCTTTTTCTTATACTCTTCAGCTAGTAGCCCTAATCTCGCAATAGCATGTGCATCTTCGTCGATACTTGTGAGCAATGCTTCTAAATTCTGTCTGTGTACTTTCTCTTCATCGACGATTAACTTGACTAATTCATCAATATGTACTTTGAATTGTACTTGCATATCTTCGGGTAAAAAGTATAGCGCATAATTTAATGCACGTATTTCTGCAAGACGTTCATTCAAAGGAGCATTACGCGCTTCGGCTATAGCTAAATTAAAGTTGTGTCTAACTTTTCCTAACATCGAATTATATGCCTGAGTGAATCTAGCACTACCACGTGAAGCTACCATCTTTAATTTAGCTAAAAGATCTAGGTGGATTGCTAGAATAACTGTTAATATCTACAAAATCATTTTCTTTTAAAATTTTACTAACTATACGATTCACTCTGTCACTTAATTCTTCACTTTTTGTACTAACATCTTGCGATGTGCAATAACCTGTTAATTCACGTTGTACTTGGCTAAGGTTTTTTCGTGCCTTGTTCAGCCTCAGAAAAACTATCAGCGTCCATAAATGCTTCAATCGAACGAAGTCCTCTTAGAATAATGGTAGACAAAATGTCATTAATTTTTTTGTCAAAATGTTCAAGATTATGTTGAGTTCCACTATCAAGTAGATCCGTAATTCCACGTTTATTAGCACGTTTTATACATGGTTGCTCAACAAGGAATATTG